GTAAAAACATTCTATGTCCCCTAATGCAATATAGACTCGCCAAGAGTGGACGCAATCACTAGTCGGTGCCAGCGAGATTCAAAATCCAATCGTTTAGTCAAAACCAAAGCAGTTAGCCAATTCGCTGGCGAGTTTGCAAATTGGCTGCCCAAATACTTCTGAGACTTGCTGTATTAAAGACAGATATTCGGTTCATTACTGTAATACTAAACTGTGGAATCAGTTGTAAATCACAAATTATGACTTATAAACTAAAACATTTGTTATTGCTGCGCACACAACAGTTTGTTTTACCGTAATCGAGCAAAAAGCAGCAAAACAACATACTGGCAATACTTTGTTCGCCCCCCCCCCCCACTTCATTCATTTCATCTCGAACCGCGATTTTTGCCCGTCCCGTATTAGCGATATCAACCTATTTTCCCCTTTCAACTAACCCTGAAGCCAAAAAATAGAATCACACGAAAAGTTAATGCTAATTTACCTTCAGCTAATAAAGCCGTACAAATGGAAATAAACACGATGAGAAGTGTATCTGCAAACATGGCTGTAAACGAAAACCGAGAAAAAAAAGAGGGTTGAAAGGTCACTGACATACACAATCAGGCCACGTAGGCTGCTTGGTTTTCATTATCAAAACAAACTTTGCGCGAATAAATGTGTTTGTAACCAATATCAAATAGTTTAACATAATTCAAAATGTTCAAATTATTATTGCAAACTAACTTTAGTAATATGTGTATATGAAAAAGGAGTTTTTATTAGGTGTGCCGCATCCTTGTAGCATTTATTGTGGGCTTAGGGAGTTTTTCACCATCATGACTGCCAGCCGAAGTATGGCGGCAAGAAAGGCTTACAGTGATCACGAAGTGGTCGTGAAAAATGGCTATCCAAAGCTACCGTTTCTTATCGGAGTCGCAGGAGGAACTGCTTCTGGAAAGGTAACATATTGATACACAGTCTGAGTGAATTTCAAAAAATATAATCATCTAGATTCTGATATTGGGATGGTTAAAAATTATGGAAATTGACAGGCTGTCGATTCAGCGATTGTCTTGATTATGACCTGACTCGTGCGTGCTCAGTGTATGTTGACACGTGGGCTTTTGTCTCTGTTGCGCGATGTGGCGGATCATTTGAATCACCGCGCATTTAGCTGTTCTTTCTGTATTTGAGACTCGTTATATCATTATTGAAACTAATGGTTTGGTTTTTATTTGGCATGGCTTCCACGCGTTTCATTGTTGCAACAGCCAACACATTGGCTGTTCAAAGCTTGCATAAGAAACCGGAAACTGCTCGAGTAATCGCATCAATGATGACAAAGAAATAATAAAAAAGGCTTCGTAGTTTCCAGCATAGACGTCGTTTTTTAAGGTCACTGTTGCCGCGCGAAAACGATTTTAAACAAGTTTGAATTCACGATGATGTCGATTTCAATTCCTATGTCGCAATGGCCTATAAATACACACGTAATGCACGACCACGTGGAAGAATTCAGCCACCGTCCTTCAGCTCATAAGAAAGCACGACCACGAGGTCAACTCATGTTTTATAGTCCTGCTCTTTTATAAATAACTGATCTGAGATTTAAATAATTAGAAAAGATAAGAATCAAGTGTTCAATTATATTGCTTATCTTGCAAAAAAAAAAAAAAGCTGAAACTGCACATTTTGGAAAACAAAAATATTCTCCAGGGGATTTGATTGGTAATAAAAAAATGCTGTTTATAAATTCTACTTCTAGTCCTGTTAAAGTATATATCACAGAATTTGATTATTATCATACATAAAAATAAAAATCATGCTGAGGCACCTTTCCAGTTAATGCAGTACTGTACTGTGCAGCTCACCAAAAACATGAATGTTTACAAATCAAACCAGTTTTAGAGTTCCGCTATTACAAATCAAACTAGTTTTAGAGTTCCGCTATTTAAGCCTCATTAGCATTTACAAGCAAGTTAGTAAACAGTTAACAAAAACAAATTATTTGTCTGGCTTCATAATTGTTCAAGGCTATAATGACCTTTGACATTGCTGCCATATTGCATTGAAATAAACATGGTAGTGATCAACAATTGAACCCAAAGAACACAGAACAGTGGAATAGTATTCCTTGCAAGTCCAACTAATCTCTTAAAAAAAAGATGTGTTAAAATTGTATGACATCAAATTTTTGTATGAAGCCTGTCAAGAAATGTATGCATTGTAATAAATGCAACAACTACATGTATGATATTCAAAAGATATCCACATCGAA